CCCTTTACTCTGACTTTCCCTGTTCACTGAGGTAGGAGGTTCCATGTGCTCTGGCTCCAAATCCAGGGGTGATTCCCGGTGTCTTTAAGCAAGAGCTGCCTCCTTCATTCAGGTAATCAGGCGGTTATAAGTACGTGTCAATGTAGTGGTTGGTTATTCTGGCGATTCACCTTTCTCAACTGTCAGTCTGGTTTTGCATGTGGCAGAAGCTAGTTTTGCAACATTCCTGGAGTCCCCTTAGATTTTTTTTTTTTTTCTCCCCCCCCACCCTCTTAATTCATCCAAGTGACCCAGGTTTTAGTTGAGGCTTATGACAAGTCAGTTCAGGTAACGCTGCGTCATGAAGAAACATCTACACGTGGAAGCTGCATGTTCAAAGCAAACTCCTCTCTGACAGAAACTTTTAGCAGACACTTTCCGCAAATCCAAGGACTGGAGATGTGGGCTTAGTCTCTCTTTTTCCTGCCCTCCCCTACCCTGGGCTTTTTTTGGCTGTTGTTAACAAGAGACAAGCATGATAAGCCTCATGTGCAGTGCATGGTTGAGAAAGATTTCAAGAAAATAAGGGCAAGTATTTGCTATCAGCCTATGCCATAGGTCTCCTACTTTGTGTATGTATTAGTCCAAGCAGAAGACTAAGGACTTCAGTATTGCACTGTAGATTTGGGTTTTATGCAGCGGCATAGTCTTGACGCAAGAGACAGGGGAGAGAGGAGTTGCTTCTTTTTATAGGACTTTTCTAGTGAATTATTTTACTGTTGAACTAAATATGGAATGGGAGATGCTGGAAAGTACGTACCCTTTCTTAGTTTGAAAGTATTAGTGTCTATTGATAACGGCTGGTTTTCTATGGAAGACGCTGGAGAAGGGCCTGTTCCCTCAGCCGTTACTTGTCCATGTGTTGCAGACTAAGACGCAAAGCCACGAGGTTTGTATCTGTGTTAATATCTTGCATATTTGAACAACTCCTGCAATCAATGCTGGCTCCTGAGGCTCCATTATCTCCTCTGTCTGTCCATGAGCTGCTTTTCAATCTCCTCAGGCTGTTCCTACACAAACATAAGGGGTCACTTAGCTCTGTGTGTGCCAGGGGAGTTAGCCCCAGTTGCAGCTGGAGCCCTCAAGCCATTTGATTCAGCAGAAAATCTTACTCATTATGATTTTGAAAACCCAAGCAATTTCTGCATGAGTGTTGGGTGCTGACTGAAATGTTATTCTTACTTGCCAAAATAAAGCATAGATTTTCCAAGCTGATAGAAAGGCTCTACACCTGATTTTTCTTATTGGGGATGCTTCCTGTGCTGGACCGGTGGTGCTGGCCGGTGTAGTCCTCTGTGCTGCTGCTGTGTGTAACCTTCACTTCTGTTGCAATCGGGGGTGAGTCAGGCTGAAGGGCAGCTGTAGAGGCAGCCATAAAGGCTTTGCTTGAAAATAACTCTTGCTTTTTCCTCTTTAACTTTGTGCATGGATTTTGAGCTCTCCTGTTCTTCCTTTTCCAAGCAGTTATGCAAGGCTTCTCTGTGGGTCGTTTTTAGCATCTGGCAATTATTATTGCAGAGACTATTTCAGTTCTGTTCCAGCTTTTGAAACCCCTGTAAGACATTTTATATTTAAGCCTTTTTTTAAATGTCATGAGACCTAGTAATGTCTCTACAACTCCCACTGCCTTCATGGAGATGCCTGTGCAAAGGCAGGGCAGCCCGTATCTGCAATTATTCACACAGCCGAGGTGTTCTGTGATGTGTCACTGTCACTGCGGCGTTATCCCTCTACATGGTATGGGTGTCGCAGAGGGCTGGGGTCCAGCAGAGCACAAGGCACAACTAACGTGAACAAAACAGGCTCAATCCCTCCTGCACCTGGCAGATCCCCCAAGCTGCCTTTGGTGGCTACAAGAGGAGGTCCCACGGGACTGCGTGGGCGATGGAGATGCTCGGGTGCTCCTGGTGATGCAGGATGGTGCTGTGGGGGCATCAGCACCCCAAGTCCCAGACTAGCAGCCTAGAGCAGGCGGGGAACGAGTGATGCCTGGTGTGGCTGCCCTTCATGCTCTGTAAATCATCTATGTTCTGGGTGTGCTACATCGGTTGTATTGTAAACTAAAACTGTATTAATAAATCGTATAACTATATTTGTTTCCATATAAACTGTGCTAGTCTGATTTTTGTGTGTGTGTAATCTATCACTCTTAGAATAAGGGAAATTTATTTTAATGGAACTGATGCCTGTCAAGATGTTGGCTATTAAAAGTCCCAATACAAATCTAAACTGAAGGGTAATATCTTCACAGTCTTCCAGGGAGCTATGTAGAATGACTATAGTTAGTAACAGGGTGAAAAATACCATATTGCTTGGGGACACTTGTTGATCATTATGAAACAGCGGCCGCATTCCACTTGTAAATGACTGTTACTTCATAAACCTTATATTTGGACCTGCCTCTTCACAACCAGGATCTGGCGGGTTTGTGTGTGCTGGGACGGCCGGTGGCATCATTCCTCTTGTGCTCTTATAACCAGTAGTCTTGGGCTGATGTTATTCCGGAGCGATGGCATAGCTGTAGAATGACGGCCCTCGGACTAACCCTGGAGAGTAGTTGGAGAGCTGTCGGTTATGGGGACTGGTGGGTAAGTTTTTGCTAAAACCATGCTTGAAACAATACACGTCTCTTACAGCTGCCGTTTGGTTTGTTACACGCATCCTTACATTTTATTTCTCATGTAGGAGCATTTTGCTGAATTAAAGGAGTAATGGTTTTTCTTTAAGGATTAAAGTGGTTTGTAGTGTAAGGAGTGTATGTTGGAAGTAAATGCTTTAGCCTTTTTGGAATAAGTGCAGTTTAAAAAAATAACATCTGTTTTTTGAAAAAAAAATATTTTTGAAACAGAGCATACATTTTTGAAAAAAACAGAACATATTCTAGTGAAAGACATTCAGGTAAGATCATTTTTCTGGAGTAAACAAGCAGCTCTGATCCCTGGTACAGCTCCTGTATTACGTTATAGGCTTTGTCCTTAACTGCTGTTTGCCAGCAGCGTGCTTTTTCATGAGGCAGTGACAACATGGTTTTTATGGAGCTATTTATGCATCCTGTAAACTCTTCAGCTTGGAGACATGCCTTGACACACTGTTCATATCTGGCAAGCAGGATGGCAACTCCCTGTTTCTCAAGTTGGTTGTTTTTATCTTTTTTTTTTTTTTTTTTTCTTTTCCCCCATTCGATCAAACTTCATTCAATCTCAGAACTCGCTGTTTTTCTGAAAAGTTCTTTAGGAGTTCAGATGTGGTGAGACAAGGTCATGGAAGACACTGATACAACTTGCTGAGTTGCTACTAATGCCTCCATAACGTCTTTCCAGGATCACAAGGTGAACGCAGTAGACTGTAAAAGTTCTCTGTGCAACGTCTTGAATGAATGACAAGACCGTCGGTAGCCCAGGTGGCTGGATGAAGGCTGAGAATTCCAGGCAAAGTCACTGCAGTTCACTCACCACCTTCTGTCTCTGGACTTGATGAGGACCAGCAGTTCCCAGCTTTGACCAGCTAGGTATGTATTTACAGCAATAATTTAACCCTGTCTTTCAGTTTCTCCACCAAGCAGCTGCTTTATGTTGGAAGCAACATGGAATGAGTGGAGCGTTAATACAGGTTTTCCTTAGATCTGTGTTCCAGAATCTCAAGCTTGCTCTAAAGCTTGGCTCAAATTCTGCTCTTAAAAAAATCAATTCCTTGATTTCTGCTACTGTAGAGCTCTTAAATAATTTTCAGAAACAGCATTGCAGTGTGTTTCTGAGAACTTGTTAAGCAATATTCAGACTAGAAGGTGTCAGATCAGAAGTGTTTCAGTGGACAAAGATAATAGCACTGCAGGCCGCCTGTTTCTTTGCTGGAGGAAAAATATTATAGCACCTTTCATATTAAAGCTGTTCCAAGTTTTCCTCTCTGCAATCTAGAAATTCAAACATTTCTCAATTAGTAATACTTATTATTTCCATGAAACACTTGTCGACTGGCTTGAGGCAGCTTCCTTCCTGGGTCTGGCCAACAAAATTAGTGTCAAGCGAAAACACCGGGGAGGAGAGTCACGAACAGCTCTTCTGCGACTTGCAAGAGAAAAATGTGAGCAGTAACTGCAGTGTCCACCCACACATGTATTTTAAAAACAAGCAGACAGAATATTGCTATATTCTAATTCCTCTCCCCAGAGCAAAGCAGGCACATGATTAATGCAACAAACAGCTCTGAATAATAAGCAATATTGCTTTATATGCATGATCCGTAGCTACAAGGTACTCGGCGCACTCTAGAAGAGTAAAAGTGCATCTTAATCATCGTCTGCCATCTTCTACAGTTTATATGGCGTAAATTAAGTACGGCAAAAGCATCTAAGAGCTAATGAAAATGCTAAAGACCACTTAAAACTAATTGCAGCACAGCAGCCTCCTAGTTAATGGTTATTGCTGCACGCTAGGCTAGCGCTGCCACATCCAATTGTTTGCTTTTTTCCCCCACTTTTGAACATAAGTCTAATAATGCAGAAGTAGAGGAGGAGTGGAAAAAGGAGGGAGAGACCCAAGTACCAGCGCTGCCTTGGCATGGTCGCTTTTCTTCTGGGTGAGGTTGCTGTCCCCCATGGTGG